TTACTTACCAAAATACCTCGTATGTCATCCTAACAGAATAGAATCACTTGGTAAATAAAATAAATAAGAGATAAAAATATATGCCTACTTTATATTATATTACAGCTTAAGAGAACGCATCAATCACTGAAGGGCGAGGTTACAACAATGGTCAGTGAGTCTCATAACCTTTGCCTTCCGCGGTCCTGTTCAACACTTAACATAAGTGCCAGTGTAATCCTTCAGTCAAAGACCAACTGAATCGAGAATACCCTACAGTCTTTTTTCAAGTGGGGTCTCACTGCCAGTCTAGACTATGAACGAATAGTTTAGTCTTATAAGGAACCGATAGGTGATCTTTCTGTTCGAAACTCTTCGAACCACACTACCTCAATATAAGACATGGAGTATGTATTGCATAAATAAATAAACTGCAAACATATGTACTTTGATCGAAACATGATTGCCAGATCAAAATAGAATTGATAGAATCTGTAAAACATAGCTTTTACAGCATACTTCTAACAACATGGACGCTGCGGGAGCCTTTTTCTTCGAAGCCCCGGTTGTTTTTCCCATGGTTTTTGGTTCGGGAAAATCGTCGAACACTTGGTGTGCGGAGTTGGAGGTGTTGATGCTATGGACAATTTGGGATGATCCGAGCTCGGAGTAGGCCTCCTCACGCCACAACAATCTACCACACAGCAATTTGAAGTAGGAAACGGTACCTTTGGACGGAAATTCGGCCGGAATTGATCAAGGTCACGAGCTAGGGTTGTTGGAGATTGAGAATTATTATGGTGAAGTGAAGGAATTTCCAAAATTGAAGGTGGGATTGGTCGGAGATAGGTCGCCGGAGGTTCTTAGGCGGAGGTAGTCGGCGGATTTTGGTCGGAAGAAGCTTGGTCGGAGTATAAGGCGCGGTTGGTGCTAGGTGGGGGTGTTTTGTCGAGAGAGATATGAAAGGAGTTGTGTGGAATGAGGTCTTGTCCGTTTTGTTTTTTTTATTTAAGTGTCCCAGGGGTTAGCGGCGCTAACCCCATAGCGCCGTTATGGCCGAAAAAACAATTTTCGCTGATGGTCGTTATCATCTCGCTAACCTCAAAATGCCGCTTCAAAATCTTCCATAGCGCCGCTATGGGCATAGCGGCGCTAACCTCCGCTCCTTTGTAAAATTTGATCTGGCCATCGCTATGGCCTCGCTATGCCTGAAGCGCCACTTTCAAATCCTTCATAGCGCCGCTATGGGCATAGCGGCGCTAACCTGCTATTTCTGATTTTTTTTGTTTTTTTTAAGGAAAGAAAGGAACTGAAATATATATATAAGTAATATATAAATAGATATAAATACATATAGTACAATTAGTTGCTCGGTTTTAAGCCGGGAGCTTGGCATAGATTTGATCAAGGATACATGGGTTCGCCGAGACTGATGGTCTCGACATGATGCTTCCCAAATTCTCCTTCAATGTAAGGTTTGACCCTTTGCCCGTTCACAACAAACAACTCGCCATTTGCGGGATTCCGGAGTCAGACGACTCCAAGTGATAGCACTTCATCAACGATATAAGGTCCGCTCCAACGGGACTTAAGCTTTCCCAGAAAAAGTCGAAGGCGAGAATTGAATAGAAGTACTTTCATACCGGGCACGAGATGTTTCCGGATAATGGTCGAGTCGTGAAGCCTTTTAACCTTATCCTTGTAAATTTGGAATTGTCGTACGCCTCATTTCTTAACTCTTCAAGCTCGGAGAGTTGCAACACTCGCTCTCGACCGGCTGCTTCGAGATCAAAATTCATCTTCTTAATGGCCCAAAATGCCTTGTGCTCGATCTCGACCGGAAGGTGACACGCCTTTCCATAGACAAGCCGGAACGGGCTCATCCCCAAAACTCCTTTATAAGCTGTGCGTTGGGCTCAGAGTGCATCATCGAGTCGGCTCGACCAATCTTTTCGAGACAAGTTCACCGTCTTCTCAAGAATGGTCTTGATTTGTTTGTTGCTCGTTTCAGCTTGGCCCGAAGTTTGTGGGTGGTATGGGGTGGCCACTTTGTGAGAAATCCCGTACTTCTTCATCAACTTTTCAAATACTCAGTTGCAAAAATGTTTGCCCCCGTCATTCACAATAGCTAGTGGAAATTCGAACCTACTCAAGACATGACCTTGCAAAAACTTGATCACAACGTTAGCATCACATGTCCTAGTAGGGATAGCCTCGACCCACTTGGACACGTAATCCACAGCAAGAAGTATATACTCAAAGCCAAAAGACTTGGGAAATGGTCCCATGAAGTCAATGCCCCATACATCAAATATTTCAACTTGTAAATTGCTCACAAGGGGCATCTCATTTCTTGGGCCAATATTTCCAATTCTTTGACAACGGTCACAAGATTTGCAAAAGTTATAAGCATCTTTAAAGAGAGTTGGCCAAAATAAACCTGATTGGAGGACTTTGAAAGCGGTCTTACGGCCCCCAAAGTGTCCTCCGCATTGAAACTCATGACAAAAGGCCAGGACATCTGGTTGTTCTTCTTCGGGCACACACCTCCGAAGGATTTCATCTTTTCCCATCTTGAAAAGGAATGGGTCGTCCCAAAAATAGCTCCTACACATCAAAACAAACCGTTTCCTCTCTTGGGAAGAGAGGTTAGCCAACAAAACACCATCTGACAAATAGTTCACTATGTCTGCATACCAAGGCACACTACTTCATTTGCATGCTCATATGGAAAATCATCATTTATGCCTACATGCTCATGCAATGCAAGTGAAGGATCAGAAGGAACAATGCGAGACAAGTGGTCAGCAACAACATTTTCACAACCCTTCCTATCTCGAATTTCGACATCAAACTCTTGCAACAACAAAATCCACCTAATAAGCCTAGGTTTCGATTGAGTTTTACTCAAAAGATACCTAAGAGCTGCATGATCAGAATGTACAATCACTTTAGACCCCAAGATGTAGGATCTAAATTTTTCAAGAGAAAATACAACAGCTAATAACTCTTTTTCAGTGGTCGTGTAATTCAATTGGGCAACATTTAGGGTCAAGCTAGCATAATAAATTACACGAAGCAATTTATCAACTCGTTGGCCCAAAACGGCCCCTACAGCAAGATTCGATGCATTACACATAATCTCAAATGGTAAAGACCAATCGGGTGCAATCACAACAGGAGCAGTCACAAGCTTATTCTTCAATTTATCAAAAGCCTCAACACATGCATTATCAAACACAAATGGCACATCATTAGCAAGCAAGTGACACAAAGGCTGGCTGATTTTCGAAAAATCTTTAATAAATCTCCTATGGAAGCCAGCATGTCCCAAAAAGCTTCGGACACCTTTTACATTCACAGGCGGGGGAAGTTTTTCAATAACATCTATTTTAGCTTTGTCAACTTCAATCCCCCGACTAGACACCACATGACCAAGCACAACACCACTAGTCACCATAAAGTGACTTTTCTCCCAACTCAAAGTCAAATACGACTCAATGCATCTTTCGAGAACTCGAGATAAGTTAAGCAAGCAATCAGAAAAAAAGGTACCAAAGATCGAGAAGTCATCCATGAATACCTGTAAGCAATCCTCGAGCATGTCGGAGAAAATAGAGAACATGCACCGTTGGAAGGTCCCGGGTGCATTGCATAGGCCGAAAGGCATGCGTCTGAAAGCAAACGTGCCGAATGGGCACGTGAAGGTTGTCTTGGGCTGGTCCTCCGGAGCTATGGCCACTTGGTAGTAGCCCGAGAGTCCGTCGAGGAAGCAATAGAACTGGTGGCCCGAGAGATGATCGAGAATCTGATCAATGAATGGCAACGGAAAATGGTCCTTTTTGGTCACGACATTGAGTCGCCGGTAGTCAATACACATCCGCCATCCGGTGGTGATTCGGGTGGGGACCATCTCTTTCTTCTCATTCTCGATCACTGTGATGCCCCCTTTGTTTGGCACCACATGAATGGGACTGACCCACTCACTGTCCGCCACTGGATAAATGAGCCCCTCGGAGTAAAGCTTCAGCACTTCCTTTTTCACCACCTCCATCATGTTCGGGTTGAGCTGCCGCTGGCTATCCTGAAATGGCTTGGCACCCTCTTCCAATATGTTCCGGTGCATGCATGTAGAAGGGCTGATCCCCTTTATGTCGCCTAGACCCCAACCAATGGCCCTCTGGTTCTTCTTAAGCACCTCAATCAGCTCCTTCTCCTCTTCTTGATTTAGTTCAACAAAGATGATGACCGGTTTTTGCTTCTCATCATCAAGGAACACATACTTGAGGTGGCGGGGAAGTTCTTTAAGCTCTAAGATTGGTTTGTCGGGCTCGTCGGCTGCAAATAGCTCGATGGTCGGTTCTTCTTCATCGTTAAGGTCGGGCATTGACCTCTCTTCCAAATCTCGTATGGTTATCTCTTCGACAAAAGGGGCACTCACATCAATGAACGAACAATCCTCCACGTAGTTCGCCGAAGGGCCAGATGTGGCCTCTCGGACAGAGATTGACACGGACTCCCCCAGGACCGTCATGTTCAAGGTTCCATTCTTCACGTCAATGAGGGTGTTGTTAGTCGCCATAAACGGTCTGCCGAGAAGGATAGTGTGGTCTTTCCCGTTCTCATGTACATCCCCCACATACAAAATGACAAAGTATACCGGGATAATTAGCTTCCCGACACGAACAAGGACATCCTCAACTACTCCATTGGGGTATCTGATCGAACGGTCCGCCAGTTGGAGGCACATACGGGTTGGTCTTAAGTCAGCAAGACCCAATCGCTGAAAGATCGAGAACGGCATAAGGTTGATTCCCGCTCCGAGGTCTAGCATCCCCGAGGCTTCCTTCCCATTCCCTAGAGCTATTTTAATCACGAAGCCCCCAGGATCTCGTTCCTTCTTAGGTAAGTCATGCTGCATAGCACTTGCCGCCTCATAAACCACTACTTTCTCCCCATCGTCGAACTTCCTCTTCTTGGTGACCAAATCCTTGAAAAACTTCACATATGACGGCATATTCTTGATCACATCTAAGAGAGGCAAGTTTACGTTGACCTTCGAAAGCATGTTGTAGAGGTCCTAGAATTGTTGCTCTTGCTTTTCGTCACAGAGTCTACTCGGAAAAGGGATGCGTGGCTTGTAAGAGTTTGGAGACTTGTGAAGCAAAGGACTCTCCGTTGGTTCTCCCGAGTCGGTTTTTGTGCTCTTCGTACTCTCCTCGGTTTTTTTGGGCTGGTCGGTTGTTTTTGGGACATCGGGCTCGGGCATTCTCACTTTGTTGTCCACTTCCTTACCGCTCCTCAACACAATTATTGCTTTGGCTTGCTCGGGCTGGCTCAGAAGTTTCCCTTTGTCAGACTCAGCCTCCATGTTCCCAACTCTTGTGGCGAGCTGACCCACTTGCGTCTCGAGACACTTAATGGATGAGTCCTGGTTGGTGATAAACTGAAGGATCTTGTCCAGCTTGTCATCTTGGTTTGACGAGCTTGAACCGGACCCTTGGGCTTGCTGTTGCGGTTGATGTTGTTGTTGGTAGCTCGGACGGGGTATGAAGATGGGGCGGGTTTGCTGCTGCATGAGGTTTGGACGGGGCTGCTGTTGGTTGAAGTTTGGACGAGGTGGCTGGAGGGTATTGTTGTTGTTGTTGGACCACGAGAAATTTGGGTGATTTCTCCACCCGGGATTGTACGTGTTGGAGTAGGGGTCGTTGGGCTGCCGGTTCTGATATCCTTGGAGGGCATTGACATCTTCATACTATTCTCCTACCTCCTGGTCAAACGCCGATGGGCACACCTTGGATCTATGCCCCTGAACTCCACATGCCCCGCATGTGTCTACCGCCATGGTGTGCACTGGCTGGCCTCCTCGTGCATTCATTAGCCGCATTTGTTCTGTGAGTTCGGCTATTTGGTGGGCCATCATGTCCTGCTTTGTAGATGCCTCGTTCACCACCGCTCTCTTCCCTCGACTGCTCTTTTGAGACGAGCTAGAACTCAACGCCTCAAAGATATCCATCATCTCCTCTGCCGTTCTTGCCCCGATGTCTCCACCAGCTGCATTGTCCACCATGTACTGAAGGTTCTGGTGGAGAGAATCATAGAAACCGTTCATCAAAAGGGCCGGAGGAAGATTGTGGTGTGGGCACTATCTCTGTAAGTCTTTGAAGCGTTCCCACGCTTCATGAAGTGGCTCGTGCGGTTGTTGGGCAAAATAGACAATTTGGGACCGCAACTCTTGAGTCTTTTAGTGGGAGTAATACCTCCCGATGAACTTAGTGTACACTTGCTCCCAAGTGGTAAGAGAGTCTTGAACAAGTGTCATCAGCCATGCCTTAGCCCGATCCTTGAGTGTTTCTGGAAAACACCTCATCTTCAATTGGTCCTCATTTAGTCCATGAAGTGGAAATGTTTGGAGGACATTGTAGAATTCACGCATGAAATGAAGTGGATCCTCATTGTGAAGACCATGGAAGGATGGAAGCTGGTTGTAGTGGATCGTCTTTAGCTCGTAGTTTCGAGCTGCTGTCCCCAGTCGGATGCACGAGGTCACTGGCCCAATCACCGGTTGAGCCAAATCGCGAAGAAGAGACCTAGGAGGATTGTTAACCTCCTCATCTTGCTCATTTTGTGCCATGTCGGTTTGGTCTTCTGATGTAGATGATACTGGTGCAAGACTTGCTAGTAAGTCTCGTAGGTCCTGTTGGATGGATTCGTCGTTTGGAATGATTACACGACCACTCCTGGTACGCATTAACACAAACAACAAAAACGTCACGGGCACCAGATAGACAATGAAAAGAACAAAGAGAAATCAACACAAAGAAAGCACTAGAACTAAACAAAGAAAAAAAAAGAAACACAAAAACAAGAAATCACAGAAAATAAGAGAAACACTGAAAATAAAATGAATAGGCGCGCAAAATAAGTCCTAAACCTTCCCCGGCAACGGCGCCAATTTGTTGTTAAATATTTTTTTACCGGAGTAGAATCCAAAGATTCGACACCGGGTCGTATCACAAGGAAGGTTAGCCCGATTATTTTGCACGGTTATTCAACACACGAAATAAAAAACAAGTCCTAAACACTCTAATTAAAATTTGGGGTTTTTGACTATCAACTACGAATAATAAGAACAAGCTAGCAATTTCAAACTTGCAATTTAAAGTTTAAACTCAAACAATGATAAAGGGGCTAGGGTATCGGGGATATCGCTTCCGGTTCTCAAAACAATTTACGAACAATCAATTACTCAACTAAAGGACTCAAGAACTAACTCATCTAGAGGTTCATTCTCAATATCTCACGAAACAAGAGAATAAACGTAAACAAATCAATGACGAATCAATTAGCATATAGACAATACGTTATTGAACAAGTCTATTCTTAACGAGCCTAGGTCAAACGATTTCTCCCCTTTCGGTTTCAAAACCGATTAATTAGATTAAGATGGTGATCAAACATCTAAACCCTAGGTTAAGCACGACTCGAAAAGATTGAGCAATGAATCAAACACATAAACAAAATCAAACCGAAACGATTATCCCCTAACCCTAGCTATTGGAATTAGCCACTCATTGCAATCTCAACACCAACATCCATAATCAAACCAACCATCATATTCATAAACGAAATGAAAAGAGGTGCTTACGATTAATAACAAATCCAATGTCAAGAGAAAGCAACGAACAACCGAAATCCGAGCTAAAATTGGAGTTTTTATGCTCCAAAATCCAATCCAAGATGCAAAAGTAAAAGAAAGATATGTTCTAAAGTGAAAAACTCGAAAAAAAAAAATTCTGGGGAATGTCTAAAATCCGTCCCCAATTCGATCCTTAAGCCTTTCCATTTGAAATTCCGAGAAAAAAGCTTCAGTTACAAAACAGGCCATAGCGGCGCTTTCCCCAAACCGCCGCTAAGAGAGAAAATGGCCGAGCTACAGCCCATCGCTAAGCTATGTAGCGCCGCTATCTGGATTGGCCATAGCGGCGCTTTGTCCTTGGCAGCTTCCAAATTTCCAAGTTCGGAACTCGTGAGCTTTCGTCTAGCATTTCTCGGGTACTGCTCGAGCTATAAATTCAGTCTCCGCATGCTTAAGTCGTACCACGCATCACTTTCAACATCTGCAACCTGAAAACCACCACAATCGAACAAACACAAAAGACACGAGAAAATAGGGGGAAAAACCAAGATAATACTAAACACATCAAAATAATATAAAAACACGAGAGTCGACTAAAAAGAACCGAAAATACCTAAGAAATGGCCTAAACCGGGGGAAACGACACACGAAATAGCAAAGTAAATAATAACATAAACGGTACAAACAGCGGTCTCCCAGCGCGTCCGGCCTATGCCGGCGCTCCAATCCTCTACCGCGCACCCGCGTACGCCCGACGCCAT